AAATACTGCAAGCCTGTGGTCCAGATCGACGGGACTTTCTTGTATGGAAAATACAAGTAAGTTTTATTATTGGCAGTTGTCCAAGATGACAATCGCAACATTCTTCTAGTTGCTTTTGCTCTTGTCGAAGGAGAAGATACAGATTCTTGGGCTTTTTCCTTCGAAATTTACGTGCACATGTTATCATGAGGGAAAAAAATGTGTCATTTCAGATCGCGGAGTTGGGATCAAAGCAACAATGGAGTCTTTGGGTCCAATGTGGCAACCACCCTTTGTCCAATGAATTCGATTGGATTTTGGACGACCACGCTCCCTCAATAATGTTGCATAAATTCGCATACACATCAAGACTATAACCATTTTGTGGATCATGTATACCTACTATCTGAAGTTTTTAAGGTATACGAATTTGAGTTCCACCTATAGGTAATGACAAAGACCCTGATGAGATTCAAGATTGGCTTCCGATTGTACCAAATCCAAGTTTATTGAGGGAGCGTGGTCGTCCAAAATCCAATCGAATTCATTGCGATATGGATATTCGAGAAAGATCTAGACAAGACAGAAGATGTAGGCATTGTAGAAACCCATGACACACTAGAAAAACATGTCCACTTTTGTTGTCATCAAGTAACAATTGATGAGGAAATGATGTAGTTGTTTATCAATTAATAATTATTGTACTTTAATTTGAATTTACTTCAAGTTAATGTTATTCGATAACCGCTGATGAAGATTAAAAAAAATGATACAATTATACGAGATTGGACGTTGGCGTTATATTAACAAATAATTGATATTAATGATACAATAAGTATTAAATGGTAAATGATAACCAAATTACAATAACTAATATTAAATGGTAATAAACAAAATAAATTAACAAAAAGTCCAACAAATTTATCAAAATAAATTCAAATAAATCCAACCATATTAACGAATTAAAGTAACCATTAAATGATAAATAATAATAAAAATTACAATAAAAAGTCCAATAAACAACTACAATAAAAAGTACTAAATACAAATATAATAAAAAAACAAAATCTATCGATGTCTGCGACGCAAATGTGTTCTACAAGGCGATGGTTGTCGGTCTCGAGGAGGATTTCTTCGTATCACTGGTTGTGACTCCTCGCTATTATCATCATCACCATCATCATCATCGTCATCATCGTCGTCGTCGTCGTCGTCTTGAGCAACTAAATTTTGTTGATGAGGAGTTGATGACGATAAAGCACCTCCATAGAATAAGGACCCTGGAGGTGTATGACTGACTATCCCTCCGGCCTGCGAAAACTGTGAAAACTCATAAAACCCAGACATCGCTAAGTGTGAAAACTGTAAAGGAGGTGTCTGTGCTGCGACTATGGGTGATGAGGCTGATCCCGCCAAATATCCAGCATATGAACCCTAAGTCGGATGTGCAAATATTGACCCATAATAGCCTCCAAGAGGGGTCATATAACTATGTGAAGGTGGCGGCGGTGGGGTCATAAAACTAGGTGATGGTGGCGGCAGCGGCATCGGGTAAGGTAATGGTGGTGACGACATAACATATGGTTGCGGTATGTAAGTCGTTGTAGACGGTGGCTGCTGTGAAGGTCCTGCTGGTGCAGTTGAGGCTGAACCGGAAGCACCTGCTCTCTTTCCACGAGTCGGGGGATGATGGTGCTATGTCGGTGAACGTCTCTGTCGACGTCGTGGAAAGTTCTGTCCTCGTGCATCCTCAGGAAGTAGAAACGGTTTCCCGTTACTGTTCAACCACTCATAATAACCTTCAGCAACCATCAAGAGGTCATTAAAAATGGGCTCTCTACGGGGAAAGAGCCGATGTTGATCCTCCCACAATACGACCCACTCATGATGCCTCACCAGCCAATCTGTATCGGTCTTGCCGCGTCTATCTATGCTATGCAACTCGTCTATATTGTGAGGTGCTTTTGGAATTGGTTGAAAACAACCAAATTGCCGGAGCACTCGATCAGTGGAGTGGCACTCGACGGTCGCATAACATATCAAAGGGACCATCGCCATCCAAACATCTGATGGGCCCCTCAACTCAGGTGGGATCACCGTCCTCGCATCATCATTAGAATATGACACCCATTCAAACTAAAACAAATATATATAATTTTTATCAAAATAATAATATAATTATATAACTATAATATAAAATCGATTTTTAAACATTAAAATTCATACATGTGTGCCAGCCTTCTGATCGATGAGCACCCTAATTTTTTCTAAATCATCCGGTAGCTCCTGATGATTTTTCCTATCAGTCGACCACCTATTCAAGAAAAAAATTATTATACGCTATATAAAATGATTAATATACGAAATCAGTTTTATAATTACCTCAAGAGTAGCGGAAATACGAATGGGTTCTTCACAATGGGACATAAAAAGGGAAATCGATACCATGCCCAAGACTGCAGCAGGAGGAGACATCCATCGATAGCATTTCTCCTATAATCAGTGGTTCGACACATCTCCCTGTACAATAAAGCCAAAACTGCCGAGCCCCAACTGAGTAATTCGGCCAGACGAAAGTCGACAAGATGTCGCAACCACATACAGTGAACTTGGTTACGCGATTTGTCTGGCATCAACAACCCTCCTATCAGCTGCAGTATGCATGCCCGTGCATACATTTTAACTTCATCATCTGACGCGTCCTCGCTCAACTCCCGAAAATTGACATCTAACCAATTTAACGGTATCCGACAACCGTTAAAACTTTCCGGGACACGTCCTAGATTATCCCGACACAAAGCAGTCCAGGAACCCTGCGCGATCCCCGATATCACATCTCCATCCACCGAAATCCCCAGGTGCATAGCAACATCCTCAAGTGTAATCGTGCAATCTCCGCACGGAAGATGGAATGTGTGGGTCTCCGGCCTCCACCGCTCTACTAAGGCAGAAATAAAGTCTGGTTCTATCTTACAGTGACCCTGATATCTACATATGTAACCTAATCCAGCCTCTACTAAATACAGCAATACACGACTAGGTATCACTAACTTAAGATTCCTAATAAATGGATCTAATACACGGTCCTTCTCCTAAAATTAAATAATTACAAAAATTAATTCTTAATTTAGTAATCATGCATTAAATAAATCAATAAATAATTACTAATAATTTAAATTAAATTAAAACGTTAAAATGTTACCGTATCAGCAAAGTGTCGAGATATATGATTTTCATACAAGGAAGTAGACCGTCTTCCATTTTATATCTACAAAAAAATTAATTAAATAAAATATTAAATAAATTAAATACTTAAATAAATTAAACACAAAATATTAAAAATATAATAAAATATACCTTAGATAGAGATTATAAGAAAATTTGAGAGAAGTTAAGAGAATTGGTGTGATGAAAGTGATTGAAGATTAGGGTATTTATATGGAGGGATTTGGGTTTGAAACGTCGGGGTAGGTGGGTAATTATAGCTAAGGCGTGCCGCAAGGGCGCTCCTTTCTGACGCGTGGCAGATTATGGGGTAAGGTGCGGCCCCTGCACCGCGCTATACCTCCTTTACACACGTGTATACCATGTCAGCATAAGACGCGCTTCAGGGGTGCGCCTTACTCCACGTGACATTAAATCAACGTAAAATGTGTTTCAGGGGCCGCGTCTTTCTACAAAGGGTGTTAGATCGGGAAATATAGTCTGAACGGTACCTGATCGAGAATTATACTGTTTATCGGTGATATATCAAAAACTCATCAAAAAATTTAAACATCACTTTATTTAAAAAATCTAGTATCTTATATTATTAGACAAACTAATTGTTGATCGTAATGCGATAACTTGACCGATGACTTGGTTTTAAAATACAGGTACGACCCTGACAGCCTAAAGTACTTGGGCCCATTCTCAGACCGAATCCCTGGTTATTATGGTGGGACACAACTGGATTATCAGCATACCTCATACATTTGCAAAGAACTATGAGCTCCATGTTGGAATTTTCATTTTTTTTATAATCTAATTAATTGATTGAATCAAAATTTAGTTCGGTTAACTAATTGGGCAATTAGATATTTGATTGGTTAATTGATTTTTTTCTAAAGTTTGTTTATTGGTTAATTCATTTGAAACCTATTGATTAATCGAATTAAATGAAAATACTGAACTCATCAAGTGACCTTAGAGGTTAAAGGAAATATTATTCTCCCTAGAGGTCCTAAGTTTGAGTAATTGTGTCTACAGTACGCGCACTTATTGTCAATGCTTAAGAAAGATTATGAATAAATACTATATTGTAATGATCTCATGCTATTAAAAAATTTAACTAAAATATTAAATATATTATATATAAACCTATTAAAAAAAATACCCAACTATTTTTTAACCACATTAGACCCATTCAACTTTCAAGACCCAATAAAAAATTAATTCAAATGAAAAAAATTTCCTCTATTAAATCCAAATTAATCTAATTAAAAAAATTGCAACAAATTTCGATAAATTCGAAAACTAACCAAATTAATCGAATTTTATTTAACTCGATTAATAATTTTCAAAAAGAAATTAGTTTGGTTAATAATTAATGGCAAGTTGTGCTCATGGGATTTGTTGAAGGACTTGACTCGAACCCGATTTATTCATGTGGTGTTTTTCATCCATTTCGTTGGCTGATGATTCCTTTATTTTCTCTAAATAGTCTGAGGTAATAAAACAATAATATTTGTTCATAATATTTCTTAACCACGAACAACACAAATACACCTTGCAGACGTATCTGTTCGAACTCAATACCTTAAAGAAAAAAACAACACTCCCGTCAACCATTGAAGTCGCTCGATAGATTCGGCTGATGATCCTTTTGTAGAATTGAAGGTTAAGGTGATCAAGAATGGCCGTTTGGCTTCTTTGTCAGGCTATTGTAACATGGAAGGGTCCCCATTGAGAACAGTTTTGGCCAGGCTATAAATAAAGCACAAGAAACATATGTAGCCATTTCTATAAAACCCTCAAAGGTAATAATACAAGCCAACAGCTAAGGCAATCACCAAAAATCTTTACAAGAACAGAACCCGTTTTTAAAATGATGAAACCGGCTATTATCTCTCACAATAATCTCACAACTATAGATCTTAGACAGCATTTTTGTTACAGAGTGACAATCACTGCAAACCCGAAGGTTCTTCGTGACCCGGATGGGACATCCAGCTTCGATATTGATGAGACCGAAGGCAATAGCCAACCTCTCGCTATGGTTTTCCAGTTCAGCTTTCTTCTCTTCCTCATCTTCAATATTCAACAACACTTGACTTGTGCCAGGAACATGCCCTGCCAGTTTCAACTTCTCTCTCATCTCACTCAGTTTCAAATATATTTCTTTCGTTTGCCGATGTGATTTATCTCTCACAATGAACTTATGAACCACACCTTTATGCTCTATTGAACTGCAGCCTGGATCTTTTCTTAATCCTCTCTTCTTCATCGTTTCTCTTACCTTTGAAACCTTGTCCCATTCACCGGCTACAGCATACATATTGGAAAGAACAACGTAACCCCCGATAGTCTCCGGAGCTATTTCGATCAAATGTTGAGCAGCATATTCACCTATTTTTGTGTTTCCATGTTTCCGAGCACCACTAAGCAATGTCATCCAAATTACTTTGTTTGCTCTCATCGGCATCACTTCAATGATCTTCTTTGCTTCTTCAAGATAACCAGCTCGAGAAAATATGTCTACCAGACAACCATAATGTTCTATAGAAGGCTTTATTCCATATTCATTCATCATCATATTAAAATATCGACGACCATCGTTAGTAAGTCCAGCATGACTACAAGCATTAAGCACACCAACAATAGTTATAGCATTAGGCTTCACACCGATTTGGCGCATTTCAAGAAATAGTTTCAGAGCATGTTCAGCCATACCATGAATACTCAAGCCGACGATAATAGCAGTCCAATGCCCCAACTTTTTGCCGCATATTGTCCGGAAAACTGTTACCGCACTATCAATGCATCCACACTTGGAATACATTTCTATGAGTACTGTGCCAACAACCCCTTCTAATCCAATTCCATTTTTGACAATATATGAATGTATCGAACTTCCCTTTGCAAGACTAGCTAATCCACAGACAGCAGAAATAACACCAACTAAAGTAGCATCAGTAGGGCTACATTCCTCCTCCAACATTCTCCTAAACATCTCCAAAGCTTCCAAAAAGTGCGAATTCGATTCGAATCCTCCTATCATTGTATTCCACGTGACCAAATTCCTTGTAGTCATTCGATCAAACAATTTAGAAGCAGAATTAACATCTCCAGCTTTCATATATCTGTTAATCATAGTATTCCACGAAATTAAATTCTTATTTGGAATCTCCTCGAATATATCTCTAGCAGTCTCAATCTTCCCGCACTTAGCCAACACATCAATCAAAACAGTCCATGAAAAACAATCTTTTTCAGGCATTTCATCAAACACCTTCATGGCAGCTTTAATTTGTCCACACCTAGCGTATCCATCAAGCAAAGAATTCCATAAAACCAAATCTTTCTCTCCCATTTGATCAAACACTTGGTGTGCAGAACCAATCTCGCCGCACTTGGAATACAGATTAACCAAACTACCCTGCACAAATTTATCTAATCCGAACCCAAGCTTCAAAACCAACCCATGAATTTGTTTCCCTTCTTTCAGAGCATTTAACTTAGCACATCCCTTTATTACGCAAGGAAACGTGAATTCGTCGGGCGGAAAATGACCAAGCATCTGGACGAACAGGGAGATGGCTTCATGGGATTGTTGGTTTTGTACGTGGCATTTGATGAGGATGTTCCAGAGAAGCAACGAGCGGTGTTGAATTTGATCGAAGACGGAGCGGGCGTAGCGAAGGTCGTTGATGTTGGGGTCGGCATAGAGAGAAAGGAGACGAGAAGAAAGTGAAGGATGAGAGAAAACGCCGGTTTTGAGGGAAAGTGCGTGAAGCTGTTGGGTTTCCTGGTGAGTTTTGGAGGATTTAAGAAGGAAAAAATGAAGTGCATCAGGGAAGTACCGGTGGACGGTGTCGGAAGGTATTAAAGTTTGCATTTTGAGATGCAAGCGTTCGCCGTTTGAGGAATCAATTTCTACGTCAAATTTAGCTGCAGGAGACTTCAACTCAATTTTTTTTAACCGACTGTTTGATTACTTCATAAATATTAAACGCTAAATAATTTAAAGACTGAATGATTTAAAAATTATGTATGAATTAACTCTAAATGTGACATGCTGTTTGATAATGATTCTAAATCATTTAGAATGTACTTTTGTGCTGAATCATTTAACACTGTTTTGCTGAATCAGTCATCATTGAATCATTCAGAGGTGCAAAACAAACGCAATGAATGCCGAATGGTTCAACATTCAGCGCTGAATGGTTCCATTAAGAGGAAAAAAAATAACCTCTAATCAAACTCGATTCAGTTTACACTATTCGTAAACGATAATATTAGAACCTTATCTTATTTAAAAAATTTAATGTCTCGTCCCACTAAACATTATTGGTACTCAATTTCCTATTTATCAAATGAAATTTAAAAGGTTAACCTTTCAATTTATTCCTTTATCTTCAAAAATATTTAAAATGTAAAAAAATAAAATAAACAAATTTATTAATTGAACACTATATTCGTTTACACCATAATTCTTCTTCTTTTCGTTTTTAAATGAAGTGTAGCTATTTTATAGGTAAATTATAACAATGAGCACTTAACTATTACCCATTTTCACTTTGATCATAAAGTTTGTAATTTTATCAATCAAACCAGATATCCATTTAATTATTGTCAATCAAATCATTTGTCATTAACATTTAACAGATAAGGTGATGTGACAGTTAAATATTTTGGTATAGTTACATATTTGGTCTAAATTACTTACATATTTAATCAATTGAATATATTGAATTAAAATAAATTTAATCATCTAATTGAATAATGATACTTGTCGTGACACATAGCACAATCTGATTTGAGGATTGAATTTATTTTAATTTATTAAAAATATAACTAAATTGATAGAATATGTAAGTAATTTAGACCAAATATGTAACTATACCAAAATATTTAACTGCCACATCACCTTATCTGTTAAATGTTAATGACAAGTGACTTGATTGACAATAATTAAATGGATATGTGGTTTGATTGATAAAATTAAAAACTTTATGATCAAAGCGAAAATGGGTAATAGTTAAATGGTCATTGTTATAGTTCATCCTTTTTTTATTTGGTTCCACTTGTTTAAAATACTAGTTAATAATTTATAAAATGATATTATTTTTTAGGGTAATCTATGTCAAATACCACTCATCTCTATGCTCGGGATCGAAAATGCCACTGATGTTTCAATTTTGCCAATTTTTGCACGGACGTTTATGTTTCACTTCAATTTTGCCACTTCACCGTTAATCTGTTAACGTCACGATGACATGGCATGGACGGGCGTGACAACGATGACATGGACGACTTTTTTAAAGTTATTTAGTCCACCTAACGTCTGTATTACCTGAGAAAAGTTATTTACTGGGAAGCAAGGAGCACAAAAAGATGGATCCACCCAAGAAAACGGCAATAGCTCTCATTCTTGCTTACTCTTCCTTGGCTGCAATTATCTCTTCGTTGTTTTGTTTATGGGTTTATTACAATAAGAATTCACGTAAATCCACCAGAAATGATGGGAATAGCTAAGGTATATTCTTTTCACCCCATACTGTTTCAGTTTTTCTTCATAGTTATGGGATTTTGAGAGTTAGGGTTTAGAACTGATGCTTTTTTTCCCTTTTGTTTCCCCTTCTTTATGTGGTTTTGGATTTGAAGATGCTGAAAAATGGGGCTGGACTGACACCATTTTTTGGTAAATTCAAGCCTACAAGGATAGTTTCTAAGGAAAATAATGCCTCATTCATGGATTATAAGATGCTTGAAAAATCTACAGACAAGTTTCATCAAGGTAATATTCTGGGTGAGGGTGGATTTGGGTGTGTTTACAAGGCTCAATTCGATGATGGTTCTTTTGTTGCTGTTAAGAAGTTGGACTGTAAAAATCAGGATGCAGAAAAAGAATTTCAGGTATTATTAAAAAAATTATCAGCCCCTTTTATGTGTTTTCAAGGATTTCATATTCATTTTTTTATGTTGAGTTATATTGTATGGAATTGCAGGATGAGGTGGATTTGCTACATAAATTTAAGTTTCCCAACATAATATCATTGTTGGGTTTCAGCAGTGAAAATGGATCAAGGTTTATTGTTTATGAATTAATGCAGAATGGTTCCTTGGAAACTTAGATACATGGTAAGCACTCTCTCTCCCTCTTCGACTCTCATGAACAACTTAAGAACTCACCAATATAAAAGGATATATGTTAATTATTGTTTCTGGAAAATTTTAAATTACATCTCTGGACCTTCTCAGGGGTCTTCATTAACATGGGATAGAATAATGAAAATTGCTTTGGATACAGCAGGGTAAGGCTTTGTTTTCATTTTTACTTATTCCTCTTGGTTAATGAATATGGTTTTAAAAAATAACACTTGTTAACCAGAGGATTGGAGTATCTGCATGAACATTGCAACCCACCAGTCATCCACAGAGATATGAAATCATCAAATATTCTTTTGGATTCAAACTTCAACGCAAAGGTAACGATTATGTTGCTTTCCTTTTCGGCCATGTATTATCTATTGGAGTTCACTTTCTTTCCATTTCGTCTCGATATAGCTCTCGGATTTCGGTCTTGCAGTAACTGATGCAACCATAAAAAAAATAATCTGAAGCTTTCGGGTACTTTAGGATATGTTGCCCCATAATACCTTTTAGATGGTATGTAAGCTAAATCTGAATTATATGTCATGTTGTGCAAATTATCTGAAAGTGTTATCTGGTGTTTTTTGTAGGTAAATTAACATATAAGAGTAATGTGTATGCATTTGGTGTTGAGATGCTGGAAATTCTATTGGGAAGAAAGCCTATGGAAAAACTGGCACCAGCTCATTGCCAATCTATTGTCACATGGGTACGTATGCCTTGCTCTTACGATGATTCACTTAAAAAATGAAGGGTTGTTTGTAAATCTGATGCCATATCCATTATTGAAAACAGGCCATGCCTAAGCTTACTGACAGATCTAAACTCCCAGACATCGTGGATCCTGTAATATGAAATAAAATGGATCTAAAACACTTGTATCAGGTTGGTAAGCTACTGTCTTTGTTTATAAAATTGCCAGCTACGTCACACAAGTCTGACTGGTTATGGTTAGGTTAGGTAGGAATGAGTGAGCTTAGAACCCATTTATTCCTTTCACTTATGAATGTTTTTAATATTTTCATATTAAAAATTTTATAGAAAATATAATAGAAAAATATAATGTAGTTCAATTGTTAAACATTCAATTTAATTTCAAGGGGTTTGGGGTTTAAATCCCTCCCAAACCCCTCTAGTTGCATAATATTTCAATAATTTTTCAAGCAAAACGAAGTCATTTTGTCTTTATTGAACATCAAAATAGTTGTGTTGAAACGACGTCGTTTTGGTAAGCTGTCTACGTCATCACCGTCACAGCCCGTCCATGCCATGTCATCATGCCGTTAACGGATTAACGGCGGAGTGGCAAAATTGAAGTGAAACATAAACGTCCGTGCTAAAATTGGCAAAATTGAAACGCCAGTGGCATTTTCGATCCCGAGCATAAAGATAAGTGGTATTTGACATAGATTACCCTATTTTTTATTTAATTTTAAAAAAATCATAAATTGTTTAATAGTTTTTTAAATAGTTACAAAATAATTGTCATAATTTTAAGTTTGGTTAAAAAGAAGACATGAACCACTAACCAATTGGATAGTGGGATGAGGCACTAGATATCCTTGAGCAATGTCAAGTATTCGAACCTTGCGTTTGTGAATTGAACAAATTAGGTTAGGAGGATTGTCCTCCCCTTTGCAGTACCCGATCAGGACTAGTCGATCAATATATTAGATACCAATAATTAATTAAAAAAGAAGTGACATGATATATTACCTAAATTGACAAAATAATTATCATAATTTTTAAAGTTTACATATCTCCGCATCCTCTGAACAACTACAACCCCTTGACGCAACAACCAACATGCCTACGAGATCTACAATCTATTATTTAATATGTTTAGTTCACTAATATATAAATATTTATCACCACTTTAGGTCTGACACTAACACTAAAGATTAATATATAATTCATTATACAAGACTAATGAAGAGGTCTCTTTGAAACTTAAATTCTATGCTTTCATCATGATCTTCAATCCGTTAAATCATCAACAACGATTGTTAACGTAAAATAAACTAGGATGAACAATCAAAAGCCATGACCACCCCAATTTTATCTTGTTAATAACTTCAATAAATAATAATGCTTTCTCTCAATTTTTACAAAAGATCATCTGTCTTTTTATTCTTCTACGTTTTTTTGTTGGTCGGTTATTTTTTTAAAAAATAATTTTTATTTTTTTAAATTTTAAATTTTTTGTTCAGATGTAAATAATATTAAATTTTTGTATTAATTTACATCAATCAAAATAAAATTATTTTTAAAATAACAACTTTTTGCTATAAAGTAATTATTTTATTTATTTTGCTTTATTTTACTATTTTTTTTGTAGTAATGTATTTATTGCTAACGATTTAAACATTAACAGGAGGTAACCACAATTAAAAAGGCATAATGCCAAAATTAAACCTCAAAGTTTGTTCAATTAGTCATTTTGTCCCTTATTCTATTTTTGGAGCATTTTTAAACCAAATGTTTCATTTTAGAGCAAAAAAACCCATAACATTTGACAGAATAATTACTTTGTCCCTTATTCTTTTTTATTGGGTATTTTAGCTCTCAACATTTTATTTTAGATTAAAAAAACTCATTGTTGAAAACACTTTGATGTTTCGATATAACAAAGTAAGTTAAATGAATTTTAAGATTTTACAAATGATTTTCTAAGTATATTCAGTACAATTATTCGAATATCAAAATATTACTCCAAGTCTTTCAAAGTTTAATTTCAATCCTTACTAAAGTGTAAAATTGTGTTTTATACTTAAAATATTTTTGAAACAATT